ATAATAATAAATTATTGATAAATAAATTGAAATATTTATAAAATATTGTTAAAATTTAAATATTGTATTAAAAATTAATTGTATTTATTATAGAGTATTATTAGAATTTTAAATATTGTATTTTTATTTATATAGTATTGTAATATTGTTATATAGTATTGGAATATATAGTATTGTTATATATTGTTATATGTAATATTGAATATTGTATTTGTATAAAGAATTAAGTGCTTTGCATAAGAATTTCGAAAATTTGCGTAATGTCACGTGATAGATTTTTGCTGAATTAAATAAATCTTTAATTCCAGCTGGAATTAATTGATCTGTATACGAATTTCCTTTTTTGGAAATTTGTGTAACAACACGTGATATATTTTGACTGGCTGGCTTGGTTCGGCATATTTACATACACTTTATCACGTGTACATGTCTCTACATGCACTAACACGAAAGTAACGTGTATGAATGCCTTTTAAATTGATAAAATTTGGCTTGATTCGCTTGATTGATCCTTTAAGTCGATATACTTTGCCATGATAAGCCAATACGGGTTGTCTTAAGTTGGCTTGAAGTTCGGCTTGGGTTGGGTTGGCTTGATTGGCTTGGCTTGGCTTAAAGATCTGAACCCGTGATCTTACGAAATATGTAAAAAAAATATATGTCAAAAAAATATATGGATTCAAACTTGTGTCTCGTGATCTCATAAAAAAAAATGTAAAAAAAAAATCATCCCCTGGATTCAAACCACTGTGTCTTGCCTTCAATTTTGTTAGTGACTGCGCAAATAACAGAGACTGCGCATATATATAGTAGTGAATTAGCTGATATAGGGGGATGCGACGCGATCTCCACACCTTTCTGTGACCAATCACATGCCTTCAATTTATTAGTGACAGAGACTGCGCAAATATAATATAGGTTGATTTGTTTTATAAATGGGAGATTGAATTAAAGATAATTGCACTAGTAACTGATAATGGTTCAAATGTAAAAAAAGCATGTAATGAAATAGGTATTGGTGAAAGAATTCCTTGTGCTGCCCATACACTCCAACTGAGCATTGGAAAGGGGTTAGATAAGATAAGGCAATTAGTTGATAAATGTAAGCATCTCATTACTTTTTTGGCAGGAAATAAGAAAAAACAATAGTTAGAGGAAGCATAAATATATTTACATCGACAGCAAGAAGTTTTACAGAATAATAATGAGTTGGAAAAAGAAGTTGAAAATCTTATTTATTTTGATGTTATAAAAGTAAACAATACACGATGGAATTCAACTCTGTATGCTTTTCAAAGACTCATTATTTTAAAACCAGCAATTGCAATGTTAAAGGTTTCCCTAATAAGTAACGTAAGTTTAAATATTCATAAAGAAGGTGAAAAGTTAGAAGAACTGTATCCAACAGTTTATGAATGGAAAGTAATCAAAGAAATAGTAGAGCTTTTAAATCCTTTTGAAGCTGCAACACGTCTCTTAAGTGGTGTAAAATAGCCAACCATTGGTTTTATATATTCATGCATATGTAATTTAAGAGAAAGACTTGAAATTGATTTTACTTCATTGAAACTAATGATGCAAAATATTGCAGAAATGCAATATTAGAAGATTTAACATCAAGATGGAATATTTCCCAAGAATTATGCCTGAAAGGATCTTTTTTTGACCTTCGCTTCAAAAGACCAGATTTTATTAATTCTCAAGAAGAATGTGATGATATTTTTAGCCAGTTAAGAGAGGAGTTTATGATCTTTAAACAAAATAAACAAATTGATATTTCTACAACATCTGCTGATAAAGATACAGATGATTTAATGACAGAAATGAGTAGTTTTTGGAAAAAAAAGAATGCTAAAGCTGCACCAATAAAGGATGAATTCCAACATTATTTTAATTTAATAGAATTTATACATGCTGCCCAAATTATTTTGGGATGCCATAATTATAATTTGGGATGTCGTAATTCATTCAATTTATATATAATTTACTATGTAAAGTGCCAAAATAATTTGGGATGTCATAATTAAGGTTGCTTGCCGAAACCTAGGGGTTTAGGCAAGATGGCGTTTCGCCGAAAAGCGAAATTCTGCCGAAACTATATTAAAGTTATATTAAAAAACTGGCGAAACTTTAGAGAATGGTGAAACTGCCGAAACTTATTATAAATGCCGAAACTGCTGAAACTCTGCCGAAACTATAATAAATCTATAGTAAAATTTTGGCGAAACTAATCGTAGGATTTTGAAAAGGTTTAGACNNNGAGGTTTAGACAAGCAACCTTAATCATAATTGAATTTGGGATTTTACTTATAATTACGGCAGCCCAAAATAATTTGGGTGGCATGTATAGTAAAATTGCCTGTTCTTGAAGAATATGATTTTTATTTATGGTGGTCAACAAATAAAAATCAATATCCAGTATTACACAAACTAGCAATGAAGTATCTCTCTATACCTGCTACTTTAGTGCCATCAGAAAGACTGTTTTCTAATGCTAAAAACTTAATTACTCCTCTAAAAACCCGTTTGGGTTTATCTGTTATTAACCAGCTCATGTTTTTAAAAAGAAATAGAGAATATATTGATATATATGGAGTAGAAGATGTCTAAGTATCAAATTTTCTAGCAGATAGTGACATTATTATACATTAGTTATTTGAATAAATTTGTTAAAATTTAAAAAATAAAAAAATTCATTATTTTAAATTGACATTAATATACTAAGGATTGGAATTGATTATCATTATTAGAATCGATTTTAGAATCGATTAATCGTTGATTAATCGTTAATCGAAATTATACTACTGTCGGTCACGTGACTATTAAAATTTATTAAGATTGACATAAATATTTCCTTTTTTGGAATTTTGTACAATATAACTTGAATTTCATTGGACAATAAAATTTCCTTTTTTGGATTTTTGTTAATGTCACGTGACAACGACCTAACTTCTTATTAACGGACTACCCCAAAATGTCATGAAACGGCCGGCATTAAGAAATTAAGAAATACAAATAATGTGTGACAAATAGGTTTTTGTCAACCGAAATAAAACTAATACTTGTAGGGTATGCAGGGGAAATCTTATTAACGCTACTGCGCCACAATAAGTAAATTCGATTTTTATTCGATAATCGATTTAAAATCGATTCTTATTGATTTTCGATAAATTTGATTATTGTAAAATCGATTCCAATTCCTATAATATACATTAGTTATTTGAATAAATTCATTAAAATTTAAAATATAAAAAATACATTATTTTAAGTATAAAAAAATTCTATAATTACAAATTATAGAAAATAAAAAGTTAATTAAAACGTTTAACAATATGCTGCACCATAAAATAGTTTTTGAAGTATAAATTTGATTATCAAAAATTGAAAATCAAATTATAGAATCAAAATTTTGCAAAACGATTAATCACTCAGCCGTGGAGCTCACCATGACTTATTTGCAATGGAAAACATGGGAATTATGGATTATATGGCTCATGGTACTGCGAAAATGGGAATCAGTTCCCTTATGATCCTGAATTAGCGAAGTTGTATTCACCTGCAACACTTCAAGCAATAAATTCATCATAGCACAGATCATGTGAAATCGATCACCGAAAAAATGCGCAGTCATTACTCATTGCGCAGTACGCACTGCTGACTGTGCAAATCCCAAGGTAAAATTTTGGTCATACAAGAATTTTTTTGACTATGAGCGTTCTCAAGCACCTCAATTGATAGACTGATGAACGATCTGATTGGCCAAAAAAATATCAGAGAGTTACCATTTCGATGAAAAAACAAATGAGTTGCAAACCACCTTTTTTCTTCAATGATTTACAATTGATAGGGTATGCTCAAGCTCGTTCAAGATTTTACATATTTTTTTACAACACTTTTTCATTATTGTACCTCACACTCTAAAATTATGAAATAATTATCTGAAAAAAAATTCGTAACCAAATGAAATCATGTAGCTAAAAAAAAGCTTTCTCAAGCTTTTAATTCTATTGATATTTCTATTGATTGTGATACTTGAACACAATGACATCATCATTCAATCACATAGAGGGAGATGCTTGAGAACGCTCTATATTAATACTTATGACAAACAATCAGGATAGTACAGCTTATAAAGAGCTGGAAGGCACTTTGCTAAGGCAGAACTACTTTAAAAAATGGCGGATGGAAATATGGCTGTAAGGTTTATGAAGAATGCGATCGTCACTCACATAAAGATGTAAGAAGGTTGCGGAAGGAATTTATAAGCGATGTGAATGTCCTCAAGTATTTGATCAATAAAGCAATGGTGCAAATTTATCAGACGTTTATTGAAAAAATAATCACACACTTTGCTTTGCACAATCCCATAACCCATTCCATATGAAAAAAATTATCAAAATAATTGCGCAGTAAAATTATAGTAAACAACTACCCCAGTGGCACCGACAAATTTTTAGCGATCACGTGATCGATTTCACAGATCATTCCTAAAATGGATAAGTTAATTTTAACAAAAAAATAAAAAATAAAAATAAAACTTGATAACAAATATCATACATTTTTTAAACTTACAAGAAATGTGTATTTTTGCCCACTCTACAAGTTTACCTAGGTGATAAAAGTAGGGTTTGGATATGGATTTTGACTTTTTATATGACGATTTGTAAATAATTAATTTTACAAAAATCTGTATCCAAAACCTACCTTTATTGCCTAAGTAAACTTGCAGAACGAGAGAAATTATACATAGTGTGTGAGTTTTAAAATGATATAATGTCTGGGTTAAGTTTTATTTAAAAAATAAAAAGAAAAAATTTTTTCGTTAAATTTGCTTGCCATTTTTGGAGATGATCATCAAAATCGATCACGTGACCGCTAAAAATTTGTCGGTGCTACTGGGGTAGTTATAGTAAACATCACATGTACAGTATCACGGGTACGAGTAATAATACTTTCTCGAAATTCTTACGTATATTATTACTCACTTATTTTGATCAGATTTTCGTGATGCGATCATATTAAGTGATTTCCTCCTTCCCTGAGAATTATATAAAAAGGCGATGTCCCTGTTAGTGAATTCTTTTATCAAGTAAAACAACAATCGAAATTTACCATTATCTATCAAACGAACTCTAAGGTATGTTGGTTTGATTTCAGCGGGTTTATCTAGGTCAAATACAATGAACTCACTGCGCACTTTTGAACACGTGATGATAATTTTTCAGTTTTTTTAATACCAAAATGTCCTCAGGACGCAAATTTAAGCTACCTAAACTTCCAAAAATACCAAAAATATTAAAAAAGAAAAAAACTCTAGGTAGGGTTTACTGCGTTTCAGAAATGTACTATTTTCAGTTTGTTAGCATGCCAACTCACCTACGGGTGTTATAGGTGCTGAAATGTCGACAGACCAAGTTGGAATGTCGACAGACCAAGTTGAAATGTCGACAGACCAAGTTGGAATGTCGACAGACCAAGTTGAAATGTCGACAGACCAAGTTGAAATGTCGATAGACCAAGTTGAAATGTCGATTGACCGAGTTGAAATGTCGACAGATCGAGTTGAAATTAGAAACTTCGTTCCTGGTTCGTACTTTCATATATGGATATTTATACCCTTTTTATTATATTCTAATTTCTTGTATACGTCTGAAGTGTTTGATCTCGAAAAAAAGTTTGCTGGTTTGAAGAAATCATCTGACCTCGAGGATGAGAAACAAAAGTCAGAAACAACAATTGTTAAAGACTTCGCAGTAAAATTGGGACTCGATAAATTCACAAAAAATAAAGAGGAGTGGAAAAAATTTTATGGTGCGTAACAAGTCTGTCCAGCTTGATTGGTTTGAAAATATCACTATACAACTTATTTAAAAGCAACATATCCTTTAGACTTCGCTGGTTCAGATTTCGTTTGGCCTCAACCCCCAGACATTAATGAGCGTCGCCTAATTTTTGATTATGTCATCGATCCTTATTGGGAGCCAATCGGGAGTGAACTCGCCGTAAATGCACTTGAATATCGCCGTTTACTCGATTCCGGCTCTCTTGATCAATCGCGTGAATATGTATTAATCGTTCATGGGAAATTTGTCAGATACGGATCAAGCGAAGAGGAAAAGAAAATGAGGGTGAATTATCCGGGATGTTATTATGTACCTGTTAAAGAACGTATTGTCGAATTACGTAGATTTTCAGCATCTGATGCTAATACAAATGTAGGTGCAGAGAAAGAGTGGCAGGTTCGTACTATTTATAATTTATGGATTATAAGGTCATTGACAGGTGTTAGTTGATATTTTATACTGTCAATGCCCTAATAAGAACGACATCATTTGGATTTCTTTTGCCAAATATAGGTGCATATTCGTCTTCGAAATACAGATGATAACCTGGATGAGGCGGGAATGGCGAATGTAGAGCAAGGTTTCCGAATGATAATTGACACAGGTGCAACAACAACTGTAATTCCAGATTTTGTAAGAAAAAAACTTAGTACTCGAGATGGTTGGAATGTAAGTGCTAGTAAAGCTGGTGGATATGGTGCTGGCGCAAGAATTTTTAAGGCCTCAAGAGACTGGGAAATTTGCTTAGGTGACGGAAAAGATTGGTCTGGTTGGGTTAAAACAAACGAAATTTATTCATGGCAAAGTAATCCAAATGGTGTCACGTGTGGTATAATCGGTTACGACGTATTAAATAATATTCCCCATTATAAACCCTGCAGGAAATCATACGTACTTCTTCAAAATGATATTTTCGACAACATACAACAATTACTACAAGCTGTATGAATATTCAAATTCACTATCTCCACTTTCTTTTAAGATTTTTTATCTTCTAACACGGAAAAATTAGTGGAAGAGAAAGCAGTGTTAAAGAACCAATTCAATTAATGCACAATAATATAATGCTTTGTAAAGTTAATTAATATACATTTAATGCTATTTAACATTACTTAACTAATAAATAATACTATTAATATTAATTGCTAAGAAAAAAAAAAAAAGTATGTAATTGACTAATCTGTAGAGTATTGATATTTTCATGTTTTATTAATCACTTTTTTTGTTGCTTGCAATAAGATCCCGCTTACTTATAAGATAGGTCATTTTCAAGCTTAAGGTAAAAATCATATAAAATTCTTTACAAAAGAAAATTTTATATGATTTTTTTTCTTTTTAACTAATTAACCAATAGAATTTAAGAAAAAAGTAAGGTAAGTAAAGGGACAGTTATAAGTAAGCGGAGTTCTCTTGCAATACATTTAAAACTTTATTAAGATAAAAATAGCAAAATACAAAGTACTGATTAGACTATATATTATCCTAATTTAATGTTTTAAACTATTTGTTAACTTAAAACTAATAAGACTTCACATGTGTACTATCAATTAGAAATTTCAGCTAAAAGAAATTTCATGAGTAAAATATTGTTTATATTTAAATTTTTTTAATTTTAAGCTATTACTTTTTAATTATAAATTTTCAAAAATTCATTTTACTAAAATTCTCTTTAATGACTTTTAAATAAAATAAAGTTTAACCATGTGATATATAACTGGTAATAAGTAGCACTTTAATTTAAATAAAAGTAAATTTTCTTGAAAGTGCTATCAAATTGTCAAATTTTTATGCCACTCAAGTTGAATTACATACTTATAATTAGTTTTGTAAGGGCCGAGCATTTTTAATATCACTATAAAGTAAAAACTAAATGAATTATTACGTTCAAATAAATTATAAAAAAGTTGGTATATTAATCTAAAATTTTTATGTTAGGACAAAGAAAAATAATAATAATAATTAAAGTTATGCAAAATAAAAAACGATGATAAAATTCAATAATAATTTTGTAAGAGCTAAAAACAGAAGTAGGAACATTAACAAATTCAAATAAGTAAATAAATAGCAAAAAAAAGGCAGGATACAATGAGAAAATACTATAAATAAAATTATAGAATAAGGAATATCAAACAATCTGGTAAATGTAAAATTAATTAGCTGTGAATTTTCTCGGCTTTCTGCTAAGGGTTCCGTCAACAAAATAAAAAATTTTGCAATTATCTTTTAGAGATCACTGATTAGCTATAAAATCAGACTTTATGCTCATCCAATTTCCGTATCATCAATGCAATAATCAACTTCACATGCAACGAACCTGAAGCTTCGTTTTTAATCTCCGCCTCGACGTAAACTTCAAAAAAAAACAGAGAGCGGAAAAGAAGCAAAATGCTTACTCAAACGAGAAATAAAAGCTACGGAAGTATTAATTCCCTTATGACTTCCAAGCATCCTGAAGGTGATGAGTATTTTTCTTAATTACAGCTCTCAAACGGAGCTCCAACACCTCAGCTTCTCTTCTAGCATTTGCTACTTGCCGTTCAAGATCTTCGACTGAGGCAGTTGTAGTCTTCACCCCGTTAGAACCGTTGGAATTGATCATGGTATCAGAATTGGAAGGATTTGGATCGGTCCATAAGTTAGCATTTCCGTTATTCAGAGTTGGAGAACCTGGAGGATTGTTGTTTGAAGAACCAAATGCGGATGAGAAAGAAGTTTGTAAATTGAAAATGGAGGAAGTGTTGATGTTGAAATCCTTGGAGAACAGGTCAAAGGTAGTGGAAGTAGGTGACTTAAAATCCAAAGAAGAGCTTTCAAAAGCAGAGAGATTGGGACCCGATTCATCGTTCTGGTAATTTTTCGGACCAGAAATACTCGGAGGCAAAGAAATGAACAGAGGTGACGATTCAAAGTCAAACTTAAAATCCGCTGGCATTTTACTATTATTAATTTCACCGGTAAAAGATGCACCAGATTGAAATTCTTTGGTATCAATTGTTAAATTATCGCTTGGATTTCCAACATATTTTTGGCCAATAGCGTTATTTTCAGCAGATTTCGTATCTTCGTTAGCTTTTGCATCTTTTTTGATATTATTGTTATTCACAGAATTAGACAAAACCTTTCGGGCAGAAGTATTCTTGTCTTTCTTTTTAGGTTTCTTGGAAAGAATTGGGGATGGGACAATAGTTGATTCATTGGTGGACGATTTTTTATTCTCCGTGATGGATGTAGCGGAACTTCCTTTTTGATTAGATGTATCATTGGATTTTGAAGATGAAATTTGTACATCAACATTACCATGCTTTTTCGAATCTTTCAAGGAGGAGTTCCCTCCAGCTGACCTATTATTATGTGCAGAAGAGTTTCTCGAATGTCTATCCCTTCTTCTTGAGCTAATATTTGTAACATTTAAAGTATAGGTAGCGGAACTTGAATCTGATTTTTGAGTAGTATTATCATTAGGAGATTTTGATTGACCAGATGGTTCATTGGCGAATTTTGACTGTTGCTGAGAATTATTTCCACTGGTTGATTTTGATTTTATACTTATAACCTTCACGGACGTAGGTTTTGTAGATTGATTTAAGTTATCGTTATTTGATTTTTTGGTAACGGTATCCTCGGCAGAAAACGACGGACTTTTGACATGAGCCACATTCAAAGATTGGTTTGATTCCTTTTCAATTTCTGTAGATCGTTCCGAAGGAATGGAAGTAGTTTGTATTTCTTTAGATGCGTCATTTAAGCCTATATAATAACCACACCATCAATCCCATAATTTATTAAACGAATGAAAGAAAATCAAGTTGAGGTTGGAGTTAAGTAATTATGGATTTAATTATATAAAGTAGCACGACCTCATGTGTTTCTATAATATACAAACAGAAAAAATGACAAGATAAAAACACACCTTCCCAATAAAATAAAAAGCAAAAAAACTTTTCATGTGGAATGTAAATAATCAACTACCACAAGAAGCTTTATATAACGATAAAACGGTTTTTTCTCTCTGTTTTCTCTCTCTTTCTTCGTTTTTAGGCTTAAATTTTTTTTTTTTGTTTTTTTTTTTATTTTCTTAAATAAGGGATTAATATCCCCGACTAAGCATTGAAGAAAACCCACCTGTATCCCCCATTCCGATTACATTGAACCCATTACTAATCTGTTGATCGTCTCCTGTTCTCGCTACCCGTTCAAAAACACTTAATCGATGGCTTCCAACATTTTGCATTGGTTGATATTGTGGCATAACTGGAGCACCGGGTGCTCGATATGCACTATCGGCCTGAGATATGCGAACAGACATAATGGCAGGATCTTGTAAAATGTTAGGTAAAGGTTCCGCTATATCGTCAATGCCAATGTAAAAAGTATGAATTTAATATAAAGAATATTAGAGAAAATGTATCAGTCAACCAATACAATATTGAAATAATATTCAGTACAAAATTAAGAACACGCCCAAACCTTCATTAGGAATATCATCCTGTGTATTTGAACTAGCTGCTGCAGCCTTTAACCATGCACCGAAGAAATCTTGAGCTTCATCCCTAGAACGTGAAGATCCTTGTTGGTTCTGATGTGAAGGATGGCGTGGTATAAAGTCTTCTTCGGTATTCCATGGGACATTTTGTGGATTCCATCCGCTCGTCATATTAAAATCCATGCGAGGTGTCGGAGGTGTTGGAGTATATATTCCAGGAGGTGGAGATTTAATAGTCGGTGTAGATGTAGTGGGAATTATAGGTTGATGAATTAGCATGTTCTGATGATAAAGACTATCCAAACCTACAGAAGCGTTGGTATTATGAAGCGAATGAGTCTGATTCAATGTGCTAGTTATTGGAACGCCAGGAGGAGTTGTAAATAATGGTCGACGTAACGGCCCAAATGTGGAATCATTTGATGTATTCCACATAGATTCTTGATGAACATCACTAGGACCAAAACTTATATTGACATTAGGGAAAAGTGCACGAAAACCTTCTTGTAAGTCCTTCATAGCCAACGGATCTGATGAATTGAAGTGAGCATTATCGCCATCTTCTAGAGCAAAACCAAACCGAGATGACTGTCTTGATTTTGAAGATGATGATTGACCATGTGACGAATGCGACCTAGAATCATTGGTATAAGTACCCGCAATATTATTATTGTTATTATTAAGGGAAGATAATCCTATAATATTTGAAGGATGCTGATTATCTGTGGCGAATGGATCAAATTTATCATCATCTGTTGCGAACGGATTAAATGAACCAGTATATTGTGTAGGTGTTGGCTGAACATAATCCGGATTAGTGTTTGAATTTGGAAAGTCTGTACGAAATCCAACGCCTGGAGGTGGAGAAACTACACAAGAACCTCCAACTGCGACGTTGTCCGAAGTAATTGGGGAAATCTTATCATTATTTTTTTCTTCTGGAACTACACTATTTTCCAGTAATGGTGCATTGAAAGAGAAAGAGAAAGAACCATCACTAAGAACAGATAATGTTTGATCGAAGTCCGCAACTATATTATCTTGTTTAGTGGCAATTTGTTGAAACTTATCATTAGATTGTTCTGTTAGAGAATCCGACGGAAGAACTTGTTCCTGTAATTTAGTTTCTTGAATTGGTTCAGACACCAGTTGTTGAGGCTTCTCGTGTTCTATATCTATTTGTGTTTCTTTCCTTTTAGATGCAGATACTGAATTTTGTACTGGCTGTGGTTCCACTTTCTTGGTTGCTTTTAATCCTGAAGATTCTGCTGCTACATTACGTTTAGATTTTTGCTCTTGAGATGGTGATGATGATGTATTTTGTGAATTAGGTAGATGTGGTAGATGATGTGAATTTTGTGGAGGCTGTGAAGGAGGATGTGATGTATGTGTTACATGTGATGGTGGGTGTTGTAAAGTATGTGATGAAGACTGGGGCTGTACCGAATGCGATGAATGTTGTGAAGGTGTAGACTGTAATTGTGGTAATTGTTTATTATTTAATACAGGTGTGGATTCTGTACTTGATGATTTAGTAGCCCAAGAAGCAGTCGGGGGTAATGCTGATGCTGCAAAAAAAAAAAAAATTTGAATGATTGATAATATTATCTCTCAAAATTTTATCTTTATATACATTCCACTAATTTGAAATACAACAACTTCATGATAACAATAAATGAGAACAAAATACCCTCTTCTCTCTCATCATTGCTTCCTTTGTCGCTTTCAGGACCAAGAGCACGATGCGGAGTTTCAGACTTTTTTTGTGGTGGAAAAACATTAGATGTCCCTGATGAAGGTGGTCGTCCTAATTGAACTTTATGTGGTTCTGTACTAGTATGTTCTTTTAAGTGATATTTACTAAAAAAAACAAATATATATTAATATATATAACTATTAAAAATCGGTTTAACTAATTTTTTTAAAAAGAATCTGGAATTTTTGTTTTTGAAATATTTGACTATCACTGCTATAACTTACACCGATGCTAAATCTTCCTTAGTATAACTGTCAGCTTCCTCTCCAGGTTCATGCAAATACATGCAATTAGGATTTTGGCACACCATACTACGTAAATAATATGTACAGTATTTTGTTGTACCATATGATGCCCTATAGTATAAATTTTATATTAGTTAAAAACACCTGTCTAAATTATCTAAAATTAACTGGCTGGTTAGTCTCTTTACCTTAACACTTTACCGTCAGACATGCTACCATCTACTGCAGCTATAGCCCTTGCTGCATCTTCTTTTCGAACATAAGTTATGTAAACACCAACACTAGGCTGAGGCGCCGGAGCGCCAGGAACAGTGGACGCCGGAGGATTTCGACGGTTAACGACAATTTTGGCTATTTTTCCGTATTGACCGAAATAATCATGTGACCGTAGTATCTTTTATTTTAACGTTAAAATTTGAAATTCAATAAAAATATTTAAAGAAAAGCGATATTTATTGATTTGACCATCAACTACCTCTTCATTTGCAATCTTCGGACTGAGACCAATTACATAAACCAAATTCTTTTGAACTACTCTCATATTGGCCAGATGTTTTCGATTCATCGCTTCAAGCTCTTTCTTTTCACGTTCCTTTTGTTTCTTTTCATTCTTGATCCGCGTTAACCTATGTAGATTTTAATAAAAAACATAAAGTAATTGTAAGTTGAGTGAATTGAATAAAATTTAAAATAAGAAAGAAATTAATTTAAATGTCTTTGATATTTTACAGTGTTGAAATGAAATGTTAGAACTAATCAAATGATAGTTTATAAATATATGAATGGGTTCAACAAAAAAAATATTAAAATAAAAATATAATTGTTATAAGAACACGATATATAATGAAATGATACATACTCTTCAGCCGATATTGGTTTAAATTCAATAGTCTGTTCAGAATATACTCTTCGACAAGCAGGGCATCGACCATTACAAGTCTCTTGGATATGATGCCAACAAAATCGACAGATCTAAAAATAATTAGTTACACAAATACATAGATCAAGAAAAAATAAGATAAACGATATTTTACTAATGTTCAGTTTTATTTTTTTTAAAACTTCCATGACGAGTATGTTGAATTCTTTTGTAACTGCGGTATGGCTTAATGCTTGTAAAAACAGTTGAATTTATAAAAAAAACTTACCTGATATCCACAAGGGCAAGGTCTGAAATTCCTGTCTGATAGATCCATCTCTTCCATACAAAGAGGACATTGGGACTCCTCCTCTTCAGAATAGTACTCAGTCTTATTGGACATTTTTTTTACGATCTCGATTTATTTCAAGGTATAACTACTTGTTATAAAGTGCACACTCCGCAAACGCGATTACTACTAAAGAAAAAATGTGACAAAGAGGAAAGGAGAGAGGAAAGGAAAAAGAAACCTCGAAGCTTCTTGGAATATCTATTTGAGTGCTGCTAGCGGTCTGTTTAATAGACGCGTAGAAATAATTTTGCTTCGCTTGTAATAACAGACGAAAAAAAAAGGCAAAGTATTAATTAAGATATAGATATTATGAAGGAAAAGTAGAAATCGAACCAACTATCGATAGTGCAGAATAGCGCAAAGGTTTGACGAAGATGCTGTAACCTGATGACACAATACAAGGGAGTTATATCACTAATCACATTTTAACTTTATAATAGAAATATATGTAAATGATGTCACATTTATTTTGTTGATTGTATTACTAAGCAACAATCAAAAATGTTTGAAATTTCTTTTATATTGTATATAAAACGCGGTGAATAGTACATTTATAAAGTAAGTATTACTAATTTCCGATACCTACGAAAATTCATTTATCTCACATACTTTATTTAAATTTCAAATTTATCTAAATAAATAAAAATAATACTAAGCTGAATTCAATTTTTAAACTTAATATAGCGTTTAGATAATCATTTTTTTCTGAATTTTAAATTACTTAATCGATTTTAATAGGGCTTGTTTCATATTATGTTTTTTTACATATTATTTTTTTTTTATATTTAGTTAAATTAATTTAACTAAATTTGGTAAAAATACATTATAATGTTAAATGATAGTATAGTTTTTTTTTAAAAAAAAAAAATCAGAACAGAAAGTATGTTAACAAAAAATACAATATATTGTATCAGTATTGGTTTTGAATAATATCCAATTAATATCAATTGAATTTGAATATCTAATATTTTTAGCTATTACAAAACTGCCTTTTAGTATTATATTTCAGATTTTATAGCAAAAAAGTATTTTTTTGATTTTTTCCTTATTATTAATTTTATGCAAAATTCATATGCAATTTTTTAATATATAATTTTTTTTTGAAATTTATAATTATATTATCAAATGTTTTTGATATAAAATTAACTATAACTAAAATAATAAAATATATTTTATTAATAATCAATTTATTGATAATTATCTTCATATATTAAAAAATAAAAAATTTGGAATTTTTTTTAATATAAAAGCAAATCTTATTTTTGCTTATTTTTTTTATTTGTAATTTACCAGTTTAATCAATAAATAAATTACCATTTTTCTTTGGTAAAAAAAATTTATTAATTTGTAAAAATAGAGAAATTAAATATTAAAACCTATAATAAGTTATATATTGGAAAAGAAATATGAGTTTTTAGTTCTTACTTAAGATGTATTTTCTCAAATACCTTTCTGCTTATTATTCTTTTTTATTTCTTGTATCTTTACTTAGTTCATTAAAATTACTTATTTGTTTTCTTATTTAACTGAAGACTTTACAATTTCAGAATACTAATTTAGTAATCTTATTTATTTAGAGTTTTTGGATTTGTAAATATAAAGTAAAATACATGTACTAGATAATAAATTATAAGAGCATATTGAATTTACTATTAGTAAAACAAGTATATAAATTATAAAGCAAATGTAAATGCTAATAATTAAAGAATGCAAAATAACTAGTAAGTAAATTATAAAGTAATAAATATTAATACTGTAAAGTATCCAAAAAATGCAAAGTAACTGGTAAATAAATCATAACAATTATGATATGAATGCTATACTAGTCAAATAATGTCAAATCGAAAACTAATCAGATAATTAAATTCCATCTAATTGATCCCTATTTTTTTTAATTTTTATTAATCGGTAAACCTGATTACTACCAAAAAATGGCATAAAAAAGGATACTTGAATTCCAATCAGAATACTTAATAGAGTATAATTATATATTAATAGTTACAAATAGGATATTTACTATTTGAAATATTAGTATATCTGATTGATAACTTTTCGATTAATTTATAATAATAAGAAATCTTCAAATTGCATATATTTTTATTTAAAATTATTTGATATTTTACTATAATTTTATTTAATAATCTAAATTTATTAATTATTAAAAATACAAATCAAAAATACTACTAATACTATTATACTTTTAAAATTTTATTTGGGATCCAATATTCAGATTGAAGCTGATTTCTTACAAAAAAAATAAAACCATTAAAGAATATTTTTAAAAAAAAAGTTTTGAAAATTAACTTTTAAAACTTACCTATAGGATTTAGTATTCAATTTTAGAGCTGAAAAAAATATTTATTAATATTTTTTTAATAGTTTTAAAAAAAATTTAAAACTTACTTATGAGATTTGATATCTAACTTCAGTACTGATTTCCTAAAATAATAATAAAAAATGTTTATTAATATTTTTTTTAATAGTTTTGAAATTTTTTTTTCAAAATTTATTTATGAGATTTGATATTCAACTTCAAAACTAATTTCTTATAATAAAATAAAAAATAAACATTTATTATAGAATTCAGTATTTAACTTTAGTGCTAATTTCTACAAAAGAAATAAAAAAATATTTATTAATATTTTTTTAATAGTTTCAAATTTTTCAAAACTAATTTATAGAATTCAATATTCAATTTCAGAATTAATTCCCTATAATAAAATAAAAAAAAAAGGGTTGAATTAAAACTTTCTTTTTGGGATTTAGTATCTAATTTTAAAACCGTTTCTCTATAATAAAAAAAAGATTTAAAAACTTTTTTTTTGGAATTTAGTTTTTAATTTCAAAACTGTTTTAAAAAAATAAAAAAAATGTTTTTTTTAAAACAATTTTAGGTTCTGTGATCATTAGACATTGAAGTTTAATTATATTAGAGTAGTTATTAGGGAATTTTACATATATATATTTTTTTATATTTTTTTACTTTAATAAAACTGCAAATATGCTACAAAAAAAAAAAAAATTTTTTTTAAAATTTATCACTTAGAAATTGAATATTCAATTTCAGAATTAGTTTTTCTACAAAAATAATAAAAAAAATATCAAAATAAAAATTTTTTTATTAAAGTTTTGAAATGAAATTTATTATTTGAAATCCAGTTATCATTTAACTTTAGAACTAGTTCTTCTATAAAAAAGAAAAAAATAAAACTTCAAAACTTTGAAAAAAAAATGTTTTTTTTAAAATTTTGAAATAATATAAAATTTTAAAACTTTAAAATACAATCCAATATCTTTACAAAAAAAATAAAAAAAAATGTCAAATTTTAATGTTTTTTATTAAAGTTTTAAAATTTTTCAAAACACTGTAAAATTCAGTATCTACAGGACCCTATTTACTTATAAAAAAATTATATATAAAATTCTTTGCAGATCTCATTATAAAAGAAAATTTTATATTAGGCTGTTCCAATTTGATTATTTGTTTAACATCTCCACCCCCCTCTATTTTTTAAAAAATTTGAGATCTAATAAACATATATTATTAAATACCCCCTCTATTTTTGAAAAAATTTAAAAGCAAATAAATATATAGTAATAAATATTCCCTTTAAATTTTGCCTGAAATTTTCAAATTTTCTTATGTTTATTTATTTAGTTTGTTTAACTTAAGCCCTCCTTCCCCCTAATTTTTTCAAAAGATCTGAACGTTAAATAAATAATTAAATTGGAACAGCCTTATATTATTATGATTTTTTTCCTTTTAAACTAATTAACTAATAAAATTTAAGAAAAAAGTAAGGTAAAAACTATTAATAAAAAGCTAATTTTTTATAATAACTTTTATTATAAGTAAGCAGAGTCCTATATCTATACTAGAACTAATATCTTTACAAAAAAAATAAAAAAATATTAAACATTAACATTTTTTTATTAAAGTTTTGAAAAATTCAAAACTTATCTTTGGGATTTAGTATTCATATCAGTATCAATATCCCTATAATTAAATATAAAAAAAAATGTTAAAAAATAATTTTTAAAAAAAGTTTCAAAATTCTTTTGAAAATTGCCTAGAATATCAATATTTAATATACTGAAACTGATTTTTTTCTTTATAAAAAAAATAAAAAAAAACTTTTTTTACATTAAAAAAAATAATTTTTTAAAAAAAGTTTCAAAACTTTTTTGATTTAAAAAGTTTTAAATTTTATTCAAATTTATCTGGAATCCAGTATTCAACTTTGGAACTAGCAAGGGTCAAAGTAGATTCAAGATTAGAAATAGTAGGTGCAGCTTTACGAGTTTAATCAATTATTCAAAGAAGTTGTCAGAAGTAATACAAGGTAAATAAGTCCAATAAGCATGGTTGACTTCTACTCTAAATGGTTTTATTCCAGTTATGACTCCTACTTCTTCATCTAATGAGTCTTTGTCTTAGTTTTCCATAAAAAATAATTAAAAAACATTATATCAACATTTTTTATTTAAGTTTTACCAAATTTATTATATACATTTATCTGAAAAAATAAGATGTAAAAAAAAGGGAAATAGACGAAAAAAAGGAGAAAAGAAAGCAAAAAGTTTAAAAAGTTTAAAAAAGTTTATTTAATAAAACTTGTAAAATATCGATTTAAATCATCTGATAATTTCAGTTATTTACTGCTAACTGATTTGCCAAATTATTATCAACTAGTTATTAATTTTTACCATTTGGCAAATTTGACAAAATTGTATTGATTTATATAACTAATTGGCATAATTTTACTGAATGATCTTAAAGGAATAATTTTTTATATAATAATCAGTATAAGTTGATTTTTTACAAACTTTTATTTAACAATTAGTGTCAGTTGATTTATGACTAATTTTACTAATTTATAACTATTGGTCAAAAAATGTGACAAATTATATTACCAATCGGTAAAAATTATACCAAAAGCTTTAACGATTAAAAGTTTTGATTTTAACCAATAATAATAAAATAAAAATGCTATAAAACTACAGTTCTTTTTTTTATAAATAATATATTAAAGGAATTGTTATAACTATTT